TGTAGGGGTCATATTTCACCCCTGTGAGATCGATATAGTGACGAGATCAAACTCCGCAATATCCTGACGAAATCACGACGAATCTACGAAGGCTCAGCCTGAATCTGAACCCAAAATGACATTAAACCCATGAGCAAAATGGGCTTAATAGAATAATGGGCCTAAATTAGATTTATTGTTTAATGGGCCANNTCCANNTTATTAGCTGNCCCATTTTAGATGTTTTCACTATATATAGCTCTTCATTCTCACCAAAAAGGGGGGGAGAATTCATTAGCAAAAACTCTTGTAACAGCTTTCTAACAGCTTAATAAAAACTCTCTTGAGATCTTTGTGTTTGCTTGCTTTCGACAGAGCTTTACAAACCCTAAAAAATCACTTAGATTCTAATTGTGAGATTCGACCACCACAATAATCATGACATATATATATAGATCTAAAAAGCTATTATTTTTAGAAAAAAAGTTAGTATAATTTGCAGTTCTAGTTAGTTATTAGATGCTATATGCACCGTTAACTTGATATAAAAAAACTTAACATTCATACCAAAAAAAAAAAAAAAACTTGATATAAAAACTTATCAAAAGCGTGTTATTTCCATTTTAACGGCTAGACTAGATTTGCTAATATCGAAATCGTGTAAGAGCAAATATGTAACACTAAAAAAGTTACACAAAATGTGACTCAAATATATGAATAAATCGGACCACAAATTAAAATAAAAAGTAAGAGGATGTACGCATTTTGTTGAGACAATTAAGGGGTGTGTGTGTTTGTCTATAGTCTTTTAAAGTTTTAAAAAATTCTACAACTTTTAAAGATTGTTTTTTGCTAAACATGCTTTAAAATCTTTTTCTATTTTAAAATTTTAAAACTTTGTCTTTAATTTTTTTGTCTTGTTTTACTTTTTTTTTCTAAAGACTCCTAAATAAAGTTTTAACCATTATAAAATAAATAAATTATTTATTTTTTCTTTTTCAAATGTATTTAAAACTTTATTGTAGATTTATACATTGTTTATTACTAAAATATTTTGATTGATTAATTATTATCTATTTATACCTATTCTTTTAATATCCATTTTAAGTATATTTAAATATATTTTTAATTTTGGTAAAGAATGATTAATTTTGATATTAAAAAATTCTTTAGTCAAATAATATAATTTATATGTGTCGGACGAGACTTATATGTGTACTTTAATATGTAATCTTGGAAAATCAAAACTAAAATAACAAAGAAAGTAATTTATATGTTTTTCAAAAACAATTTGTTCTTTATAATATTAACAATCGTTTTCATAACTAATAAATATAAATGAGATTTAGTTATTTTAGATTATTTTAATCTATTAGCTGCTTGGTAATGATTAATTATATTAATATTTTTTTTATAATTTATATTATTGATAAAATATTATCTGTAATTATTAAAAAATAACAGTTATAATTTCTACAGTTTGTATAATCAAATTTTTTTTATTTATATTTAAAGTAACAATTACAGTATTTACAGCCAAAATATTTATTGGTAAAAATTTATAGTAAAAATCTACCGTTATAAATTTGAAAGACATTTACCAATCAGTAGGTGTTTTTTTTGTTGTTGCTTTTAAATTTTCAACTTTTTAAATGATTTAATGAACTGAGTGGATACAAGAGTTCGTAAAAGAGCTGTCTCCACGTGATGTGATTCTTTTTTTTAATTTCTGCACGTTCTTCCCACATTTCTACATATATCTTATAATTCGATCTTACTTTCGTAATTAACACTATAGAAAATCAAATTGTAGTATTTTGTATAAAATTCATCCCCATTTTTTTAAATTTAATCACACTATTATCTATCGACAGAGAAGGACAAAAACTGCCAACCAATCACTAGAAGATTAAACAGTATTTATTTAAATCACACACTTCTCTTTGTTTTCAATATTGTTTTGTTTACTTTTTTAAAAAAATTCTGTTTTACAGGAATTATTTTCAGGCGTCAACTTTGGACGTGTCTGGCGTTATGGAGATGACGACGTGTCAGGTTATGGTACATATGGTTCTCAAAGCCGCGTTATCAACACGTGCTCTTTGTAAATTGTAATTAGTTTTTTTTTTGCCGGCAAATTGTAATTAGTTTTTCAAAGTATCTGTC